CCATGAACTGAGTGGGGTGTTAAAACATTAAGTCTTGGGCAATTTGGATCATTTTCAATATTTCTAAGTTCCTGTGTAATTGCGTGATAACAGTTTAAACATAATCTTACTTCTTGTAGATTATCGACTGCAGGATGTCCGGCAGCTTGTCTTCTAAAATTAGCAATGTTAAGCACATCTATATTATTGTCCTCGTCTAAACGAATAGTGAGTCGAAGTTGAAAGTGTCGCTTAAAGTAATACAAACGTCATTTGTTATAAGTCAACAATATGTTCAATTATTCGGAAAATATTTAATCATAGCCTTCCAGATCAATATATGCAAATCAAGTGTAAGCATGTTTATATATCCAATAAGGTTGTTGGCATATTCATCACTATTTAGAATTTACTAATAAAATCTATCAATCGTCTAAAACTCATAGGTTACAAAATATACAGGGTAATCAATTTTTTTGAAAATCTTCGGAAAAATTATGTATTATCATAGTAAATATAAAAAAGCAAAACTTCAGGCATGCAGACAGTCTTTAGCTTTATATTTTATCATTACGATTTAAAATGCCTTGGTTGTGTCGATTACAACAAGCTTATCGTCTGAAGTGAAAAATTACAGAGTTACAGGATGTTTAAGATTATCTATATTTCCAAGTTTAAATCATTAAATAGTTAACAAAACGACTTGCATGCCTTTGCATAATGAAAATATAAAAACAGGCAGGTTATTCGAAAATTACGAATATTTTATTACCCTAAGGGATGCGACTTAAAACAAAATGTATTGGGGGCTTTACCTCATTGGTGGCGTGAATGGAGCTCATAATCTTATTTAAATATAGAATACAAAGAGGCACTTATGACATTACTCGAGCCAAATAAACCTGTAATCCGATCATAAATCATTTCTGCACATCCTACTGAGACCTACTATATAATCAACTTTTTGTACCGAAATAAAGTATGATCCTACTATTTTTTTTGATGAACAACAATGATTTTCTATTTTTTGGCAACAATTTGATCATTTTGTTGATTTAACTTACATATTCAACCGCGATCACCCTGTAAGTACGAATTTTTTTTCCCTTTGCAAATAGTACAAGGAGTATATTCTTAATCTAAAACAGTAAGTCAAAATATTTAATATAAGATATTTCTCTTGAAAATATCTATTTTGTCAGTATATATTTATTGTTTAAAATTCATATATTTGTTACATATTAAGTTATATTTGGAAAACTAGTCATAGGATCTAATTTTGCCTATAAGAATTTTGAACGAGTACATCGAGTACTATACGATATCAAATATTGAGAGACTTTTTTTAGCTTATTTTTCTTCAGTGGGAATACCTACTTTGACCAAAAAAGATTTGCCGAATCATTAATCACCCTGTAAGGTACAATATTTTAATTATAATAGTTAAGTATGTGTTTTGACTACACAGAATGAGCAAAAAACTTCCAAAAATATTTAAGGGTGATTTTATAGTGTCCATTTTAAAGAAATAGGGATTTCTAACTTCAACACCCTGTATCTCAAAATCTAGTCGTAAGATACGATTGGGCCCATGGACACTTTTGATATGGACATCAAGTTATTTAACATATTAAAAATTCAGACATTTTGATGGTACTCCCGTTTGCATAAGAAAAGTGTGTGGTCCTTTACTATTGATGTCAATAGGTAATAAATATACAAATTATTCCGGAATATCAACAAGAAGAATATAAAATATAACAAATAAAAAGTGTTGCAGATTATTTAACTTGTATTTGATCTTTCAACTAAAAAAACTTCCATTAACTATAAGTTGTTGAGTAAATTGTAATAATTTTATTAAATAATCTGTACATAAATTAGATTTCTCGGATGTTTATAATTTATCCAGATATTGCATGAGGTCTGGAAGTCTTTCTTTAAGACCCTTCCTCTATAGGAATAGTGTATGATTTATGTACAGTTAACCAAAAAGTCTATAGATCTTTGGGCATTGCCATAGACAACCTTAAATTTGCCAAAGTAGAAAACAATTACTTTGCATTTTCTATGTGCCTGACTTAGTAAAATGCGTTCGAAATAAGTTTTTACGAGATTATTTTATCTTCAATGGCAAATTTATCAGATTTGCTGATGTTAAATAGGTTTATGAACTGGACCAACGTAGCAAATCTGGAAGAACTTTATTAAAAATCCGTTTAAAAAACCTTTTCCCAAATGCATTTGAAAAATGAGCGCAAAGCTTATAAATAAAAGCCATTTAAAAAAAAAAACTGTAAAAATTTACCAAAAATTTAATTCCTGTAATAAAATAGCACCTACGTTCTTACAAATCTTAAGTACCTACATAATATAAATTTATTTGTTTTTATTAATTTATGACCTTACATTTTTCACGTTCATTTTTATTTAATATTCATATTTCATCTAAATACAACACAAATTACAAAATACTATTCATCTTGCATACCACAATAATTTATTAAATAAATATTTTTCTCAAAAATGAACACTTGAATTTGAATAAGCTGGCGCCGATAGAAAAATAAATCAAAACCAGTAGCCGCAAATGGTAAAACGCAAATTAAAATTTGCATAATTAGGTACTCGAAAATATCATGTTTAAATATTATTGTTTCGATAAACTTCCGTTATTTTTAAAATAATCCATATTTATGGTATCAATAAAATGACGGAAAATCAATTGAAATTTTTTGATTCTATGTTATGCGATATTTAATTAAATTGTTTGTTGTTCTATGAACAATGCTGGGGTAATAAATATATTTTAAAAAATCAGGATGTTTATGTATTGTATCACATTTCAGTAAATAAACTAAAAGTGTCTTACTTCAACGGTTTCTCAAGAGGTTTGTCTAGGTTTTAAGATTCCTCGTAGAGATAATTCCCGAACCCATTCGCGAGTAACTATTAGCATACACAAAAGAACGTTTTAGGGGTGTATAAAATACGCAATACATTTTAAATCATCTCTTAAATACCATGACAGTTCAATCATTTTAAATACATGCAAGATACCAAGATGCACGTTTTTTCTGTGAATTTACTATTTTATTAATTAAGTAGAAAAAAATCTTTGTAATCAGCTTGACAAAAAACACAGATTATACGGATTGAAGAATCAGAGTATTTTCTCTCCTAACAATAACATATACAACAAAAAAATAATTAGCGAAATCAGCCCAGATGTTCACGCGTGATGCCGTGACCAAAGGAAATAGGGATTCATTTTTATATATATAGAAATTTTCTAATTTTACGCGCAATTTTCTTAATTTTTTCTTTCATAAGAACCTTCTCCTGACAATAACAAACACAACAAAAAAAGACTTAGCGAAATAGTCCATTTAAAATAACGATAAAAGGTCGAGAAACGCCTCACTTGACGAGACCAATTGTCCCCTACAAATTTTGGGGCGCAGATTACAAAAATGAGGGTTAAAACTGGCAGCAATGGTTGAAACACCCCTAAATAGGGGTGTTTTTCGACTGTACTTGTTGTTTTGCAAACTAAGCCACCCAAAAAACATATAAGATGACTTAGTTCGCGAAACACCGTAACTGGTCATTTTTTTCGAAAATTCACCCCTTGGGAGGGGTGTTTCTGGCATGTGAGGGGTGTCACAAATTTTCCAGTCTCGACACCCCGATTTTCGAAATCAGCAACTCAAAAAACATGAGATGAGTTATATTTTATATTATAGAAGATAATTATCTAATTATTTAAACAGGACTACTGATCAATCTGCAATATTCATAATTTGATTCAGTACAAAATTTGCTGCTAATCAATTATCCCTCCCTTTATACGCGCCACTGGAGAATTGTTCGTGTTTCTTATTACGCATGAAGGTAGAAGGTTTAGGCAACTCTATATACAATATCCTGTAATAAGAGTTGCATACCCATAAGTAGTTATTCTCTACTTCTGGGTATGCAACTCTTATTACACGATATTGTATATAGAGTTGCCTACACAAAATTAACAAATTCGTTCGTGTTTCTTATTACGCATGAAGGTAGAAGGTTTAGGCAACTCTATATACAACATCGTGTAATAAGAGTTGCATACCCAGAAGTAGAGGTAGACGCAATAACTTCATATTATTCTCTACTTCTGGATATGCAACTCTTATTACACGATGTTGTATATAGAGTTGCCTACACAAAATTAACAAATTAATCTAATTTTAAAATAGAATTTATATACAATGTATCAAATAGACATCGAAATGAATTAACCGTTAACCGTGGTAATTTAAAAGCAAATATTATAAAAATAAACCATTATGTGACGTGTATATAAATTTTATCACCAAAAACGTGTACCAATGAAAAATCGCCAACAAACCAGTTGACACATTGACAGTAGTATGACCATATGATTTTCGATTTTCTCTATATGTACTCTGTGATAATAGTTTTCACAAGAATTTTTGAAAAAATGCATTTTAGGTTTCGAGCGTAATATATGCTCGAAGATTTTAGGTAATTCACGTAATCGTTCTGGGGAAATAATTAAAACGTGGCAACGCTGTGTATATCCGTGCATCGCCTCAATTTTATATAATATTAGCTGTTTTCATAATGGTTTTCATTTTGCATATAGAAAGAAGAATTGAAGTTAGATTATTTAAGACTGGAATTTGAGAGGTAGAAGGTTCAGGAAACTCTATATACAATATCGTGTAATAAGAGTTGCATACCCAGAAGTGGAGGTAGGCGCTTCATATTATTCACTACTTCTAGGTATGCAACTCTTATTACACGATATTGTATATAGAGTTGCCTACACCAAGAAAATAGTAAAACTAATCTAATTTTAAAAGAGAATTTATATATAATGTATTAAATAGAAACATTAACATGGATTAATAGTTAATTTTATTAACTTGAAAGTAAAAAATAAACCATTATGTGACGTGTATATGAATTTGTATCACCTAAAACGTGTACCAATGAAAAATCGCCAACAAACCAGTTGACAGTTTGACATCTTCGATTCTTCCATTTATTTTTTTACAGCCAGCAGTATTTATAGTTTTTGCTAACGTGGTATGAATAAAACGATTTTTATGCAGTAATTTTGATTTAGTATAACTGTGTAAGTACTAGAACTCATTTTATAATGAATTTATACCATATTTAATTTATAATTTGCAATTTTTTCCTATATAACCTCACTTTTCAGAACCAAAGATTCTTATTATAATGGAAATTCAAGCAATATTATTAGTTTTTATAGCTTCTATTCTGGCTGTAAATAGTTTAAAACCAGGAGAATGTGAAGGTAGGGACAGCAGTTTCAATTCGTAGTTCAAAATATGTAATTTTATTATTTTTTTGTAGTCTGTATTAAAACTTTGGAGAAATTTTCTGCCACACTTACAGATGATATCAGGAAAGACCATAAGAAAATTGAGAGCAAATTTAAAGCATTCTGTAAGGGTGCGAAAAATAAAGAAAATAGATTTGTAAGTAGTTAATATATATTTTTTAATGTTTTTAATTTTGGTGTCTTTCTTTTCACATTTTGGTCAAAATGGTATAAATTATGAAAAATTGATAACGGATAGGAAGTCGATATCTATTTTTTTCTTGGGATAAAACTTTAATGTTAACGTTTGGAATAAGGTCAAGATTTTATTGATAAAACAACTGTATTATACTATAGTCTGAATAAAAGAAGGAGTGCAGTAAAAGTGGGGTTATAACATCATATTCCCTAGGTGTTACTTTGCGAAATAAGTTTCTATAATATAAATAATGTTACGATATATATAAAATTGTATAAAACTAACCAATTATTGGGGAATTCAGCAAATATGTGAAAGAAAACTCTTTTTACTTCAGCCAAGCTTGTATATATCTTTAAAATCTTTAAAAGTAATTGTCTTCAGTATAACTGGTAGTTTCGAGGTTTATTATTAAGTTTTTCTTTGTTATATCCACTTTCCAAAATGAATTTTCCATCTTTTTAACATGATTTACATCTGAAAGTGCTTTTGAAAAACAAGTTTCCATACGTCAGGTAATCTAAATGTATTGTTTTAAGAAACTTAACATTTTGATTGTTCAGTGGGACTTAACTGTCATGAAAACCTTAGCAACAAAGATTGATAATGTTTTTACGAATTTAAATCTAAATACTTGTAAAATTGAGATTATTTAACCTAACATTTCTGATCTCTATTATATATATATATATCTTGCTTGCATAAAAACCATCAGTTGTTAGCTCAATTTCGAGAACAAATTCTAGAATATGTTAACTTAAAATTGAGCTAAAAAGGTTCCTTTATCTATTATAAATTTTTTAAAATAATGTGGAAAATGATAACAACATCATAACCTTTAAAAATTCTTTGATAAATGTGGATTGGGCTGTCTATTTTGCAGGTAAAAAGGCCAATAACTTATCAGCAAATAACTGAACATTTGTCACATTGTTACAATGTTTTATTCTGAGAAATATGTAGTTAAAAAAAAATCAAAAATACGTGTGTAGTGACACGAGTGCGGGGACTGCCGCGGTAAAACTATTGCATAGAATTTTTTATCAACTTATGCAATTATAATTATTTATTTATTTTATTTATGCTGAATTTTTTTTTTCTTTGATATTAATTCAAGTTACACTTTTTGAGCGTGGTGACCGATAAGAAAACAAATTTTTTTCTTTTATTGAATAAATAATATTGTTTAAAATATTTTTATTATTTTACAATTCATGTAGGTTATTCAGGAATGTTTTTCATTGAAACTATAGGTTTATGGTAACTGAAATAAGATACATAAGTTTGAGACTTGATATCCTCTAAATATCTAGAAAATTCCGCTTCAATGATGGTCCCATATTTTGTTGTGGATTCTTGTGAATCATTATTCATTTTCAAATTCAATTTTTTCCGAAATTGTTTCTAAAAGAGATAGAATCAGTTATGAGCAGTTAGCAGCTAGTCTACACGCATACGTCTAGTCGCACGCACACAAACACCGTGCCGAAGTCTGCCGAATTGAAACGACGTTAGACGATGCACGGCTTTCAACGCCGCACCGCTGTGCCAGTCGGAGTGGGGGTGTTAGGTTTATTTTCGTTACGGAATTTCTTTTTCGATTTTTGCGATTTTACAATTTTTCGATTTTTTGATTTTTTTTTTTCGATTTTTAGTTTTTTTTTTTTTTTTTTTTTTTTTTTTTTTTTCGATTTTAATTTTTAGATTTTTTCTTCGATTTTACAATTTTTTCGGTTTTTCGATTTTTCCATTTTTTTATTTTTCGATTTTTCTTCAATTTTTAGATTTTTTGATTTTTTCATTTTACAATTTTTCGATTTTTTGATTTTTTTCGGTTTTTCAATTTTTTTTCGATTTTTCTTCGATTTTACAATTTTTAGATTTTTTGATTTTTCGATTTTACAATTTTTTGATTTTTAGATTTTTTCGGTTTTTAGATTTTTCAATTTTTCATTTCTCATTTTTTCAATTTTACAATTTTTTCGATTTTTCATTTTTTGATTATTTATATTTTTCGGTTTTTTGATTTTTCATTTTTCGATTTTTCAATTTTTCAATTTTTCGATTTTTCTTAAATTTTTCGATTTTACAATTTTTAGATTTTTTGATTTTTCGATTTTACAATTTTTTGATTTTTAGATTTTTTCGGTTTTTAGATTTTTCAATTTTTCATTTCTCATTTTTTCAATTTTACAATTTTTTCGATTTTTAGATTTTTCATTTTTTGATTTTTTATATTTTTCGGTTTTTTGATTTTTCATTTTGCGATTTTTCATTTTTCGATTTTTCAATTTTTCAATTTTTCGATTTTACAATTTTTCGATTTTCAGATTTACCGTGTGTCCCAGATTTTTTTTTCGATTTTAAAATTTTTTCGAATTTTTGATTTTTTTCGGTTTTTCAATTTTTTTTTCGATTTTTCTTTGATTTCACAATTTTCTTTCGATTTTTCGGTTTTTCGCCTTTTCAATTTTTTCATTTTTCATTTTTCGATTTTTTATATTTTTCGATTTTTCATTTTGCGATTTTTCATTTTTCGATTTTTCAATTTTTCGATTTTACAATTTTTTGATTTTTTCGATTTTTTTTTTCGATTTTACAATTTTTCGATTTTTTGATTTTTCGGTTTTTCGATTTTTCTTCAATTTTTCGATTTTTAGATTTTTTCGATTTTACAATTTTTTCGAATTTTTGATTTTTTTCGATTTTACAATTTTTCGATTATTCGATTTTTCGCCTTTTCAATTTTTTGATTTTTCATTTTTCGATTTTTTTCGATTTTTTTATTTTTTTCGGTTTTTCGATTTTTTTTTCGATTTTTTTTCGATTTTACAATTTTTCGATTTTTAGATTTATTCGATTTTTCCATTTTTTGATTTTACAATTTTTCGGTTTCTCGATTTTTCATTTTTCGATTTTTTCGATTTTTCGGTTTTTCGATTTTTCAATTTTTTGATTTTTCGGTTTTCGATTTATCTTCAATTTTTCGATTTTAATTTACAATTTACAATTTTTCGATTTTTTGATTTTTTTTTTTCGGTTTTTCGATTTTACAATTTTTCGATTTTTCAATTTTTCGTTTCTCATTTTTCGATTTTTTTTCGATTTTTCTTCGATTTTACAATTTTTCGATTTTTAGATTTTTTTGATTTTTCGATTTTACAATTTTTTGATTTTTAGATTTTTTCGGTTTTTAGATTTTTCAATTTTTCATTTCTCATTTTTCAATTTTACAATTTTTCTTCGATTTTTAGATTTTTTCGATTTTTTGATTTTTAGATTTTTCATTTTTCGATTTTTTATATTTTTCGGTTTTTTATATTTTTTGGTTTTTTGATTTTTCATTTTGCGATTTTTCATTTTTCAAATTTTCAATTTTTCGATTTTACAATTTTTCGATTTTTTATTTTTCGATTTTTTATTTTTCGATTTTTTATATTTTTCGATTTTTCATTTTGCGATTTTTCATTTTTCGATTTTTCAATTTTTCGATTTTACAATTTTTTGATTTTTTTCGGTTTTTCGATTTTACAATTTTTCGATTTTTTGATTTTTCGGTTTTTCGATTTTTCGATTTTTCTTCAATTTTTCGATTTTTAGATTTTTTCGATTTTACAATTTTTTCGAATTTTTGATTTTTCTTCGATTTTACAATTTTTCGATTATTCGATTTTTCGGTTTTTCGCCTTTTCAATTTTTTGATTTTTCATTTTTCGATTTTTTTATTTTTTTCGGTTTTTCGATTTTTTTTCGATTTTACAATTTTTCGATTTTTAGATTTATTCGATTTTTCCATTTTTTGATTTTACAATTTTTCGATTTTTCATTTTTCGATTTTTTCGATTTTTCGGTTTTTCGATTTTTCAATTTTTTGATTTTTCGGTTTTCGATTTATCTTCAATTTTTCGATTTTTAGATTTTTTCGATTTTACAATTTTTTCGATTTTTTTCGATTTTTCTTCGATTTTACAATTTTTCGATTATTCGATTGTTTCGATTTTTAGATTTTTTCGATTTTACAATTTTTTCGATTTTACAATTTTTAGATTTTTTCGATTTTTTAATTTTTTGATTTTTTTTTTAATTTTTCGATTTTACAATTTTTCGATTTTTTGATTTTTTTTCGATTTTTCGATTTTACCATTTTTCAATTTTTAGATTTTTTTCAATTTTTCCATTTTTCGATTTTACAATTTTTCGATTTTTCAATTTTTCGTTTCTCATTTTTCGATTTTTCTTCGATTTTACAATTTTTCGATTGTTAGATTTTTCGATTTTACAATTTTTAGATTTTTTCGATTTTTCATTTTGCGATTTTTCAATTTTTCGATTTTTCTTCGATTTTACAATTTTTTGATTTTTATATTTTTAGATTTTTTCGATTTTCAATTTTACAATTTTTTCGATTTTTTTCGATTTTTCTTCGATTTTACAATTTTTCGATTATTCGATTTTTCGGTTTTTCGATTTTTAGATTTTTTCGATTTTACAATTTTTTCGATTTTACAATTTTTAGATTTTTTCGATTTTTTAATTTTTTGATTTTTTGATTTTTCGATTTTTTTTTTAATTTACAATTTACAATTTTTCGATTTTTTGATTTTTTTTTTCGGTTTTTCGATTTTACAATTTTTCGATTTTTCAATTTTTCGTTTCTCATTTTTCGATTTTTTTTTCGATTTTTCTTCGATTTTACAATTTTTCGATTTTTAGATTTTTTTGATTTTTCGATTTTACAATTTTTTGATTTTTAGATTTTTTCGGTTTTTAGATTTTTCAATTTTTCATTTCTCATTTTTCAATTTTACAATTTTTCTTCGATTTTTAGATTTTTTTGTTTTTTTGATTTTTAGATTTTTCATTTTTCGATTTTTTATATTTTTCGGTTTTTTATATTTTTTGGTTTTTTGATTTTTCATTTTGCGATTTTTCATTTTTCAAATTTTCAATTTTTCGATTTTACAATTTTTCGATTTTCAGATTTACCGTGTGTCCCAGATTTTTTTTTCGATTTTACAATTTTTCGATTTTTTGATTTTTTTCGGTTTTTCGATTTTTTTTCGATTTTTCTTTGATTTCACAATTTTGTTTCGATTTTTCGGTTTTTCGCCTTTTCAATTTTTTGATTTTTTATTTTTCGATTTTTTATTTTTCGATTTTTTATATTTTTCGATTTTTCATTTTGCGATTTTTCATTTTTCGATTTTTCAATTTTTCGATTTTACAATTTTTTGATTTTTTTCGGTTTTTCGATTTTACAATTTTTCGATTTTTTGATTTTTCGGTTTTTCGATTTTTCGATTTTTAGATTTTTTCGATTTTACAATTTTTTCGAATTTTTCGATTATTCGATTTTTCGGTTTTTCGCCTTTTCAATTTTTTGATTTTTCATTTTTCGATTTTTTTTCGATTTTTTTATTTTTTTCGGTTTTTCGATTTTTTTTCGATTTTACAATTTTTCGATTTTTAGATTTATTCGATTTTTCCATTTTTTGATTTTACAATTTTTCGATTTTTCATTTTTCGATTTTTTCGATTTTTCGGTTTTTCGATTTTTCAATTTTTTGATTTTTCGGTTTTCGATTTATCTTCAATTTTTCGATTTTTAGATTTTTTCGATTTTACAATTTTTTCGATTTTTTTCGATTTTTCTTCGATTTTACAATTTTTCGATTATTCGATTGTTTCGATTTTTAGATTTTTTCGATTTTACAATTTTTTCGATTTTACAATTTTTAGATTTTTTCGATTTTTTAATTTTTTGATTTTTTGATTTTTTTTTTAATTTTTCGATTTTACAATTTTTCGATTTTTTGATTTTTTTTCGATTTTTCGATTTTACCATTTTTCAATTTTTAGATTTTTTTCAATTTTTCCATTTTTCGATTTTACAATTTTTCGATTTTTCAATTTTTCGTTTCTCATTTTTCGATTTTTCTTCGATTTTACAATTTTTCGATTGTTAGATTTTTCGATTTTACAATTTTTAGATTTTTAGATTTTTTCGATTTTTCATTTTGCGATTTTTCAATTTTTCGATTTTTCTTCGATTTTACAATTTTTTGATTTTTATATTTTTAGATTTTTTCGATTTTCGATTTTTCAATTTTTCGATTTTACGATTTTTCGATTTTACAATTTTTAGATTTTTCGGTTTTTCAATTTTTCTTCGATTTTTCGATTAAAATACATATGATACGGCTATGAATAAACAAAATCTGACTTATCTGTCAAAAGAAAAGGTTTATTAAAATAAAAACCATGAAAACTTTTGTTTACTACAAATAAGCATTGAAGGATGAATATAAAGATTTAAATGTCTACCTATTGAACTTGTACTACGTTTTAAAAATTAAATTACTGCACTCATTTCTTTTCTATACTATAAGACAAAGGATAAATCATTGTAATATCAAAAATATTCATGCGCAGCAAAACAAAAATGATTTTAAGGTGATAAAACATGGAAAATATTGGCTGGCTTGGAAGTTTAAAAATGAATGGAAGAAAATATCTAAACAAAAAATAAATTCTGTTTTTCACGAGGCCCTTGTATGAGATATAAATAAAATTTTAAACAATGTTCAATTCCAGTAACCAAAATGAATTTCAAAAGCGTATTTAATAAATTTAACTTGACTTTTAAAAAAATAAACAGGTAGAAATATAATTTCTATTAAGATATTTTTTTAATGACATTTTTTAACTCACCGCTTTTTACAGCCAGACACGATATCGTCTGCTTACTATATTCCCACTTCACAAAATTTCCCTTTCTTAGGAAATTAAAATAACATTTTAAAATATTACAGTTTCAACTTGTTTTATAAATGAAACCTTTCATGCGTCTAATGTCTCTATATATGAATACTGTTGAAAAATTATTGAACCATTTTAGTGTTACTACCTGGGAGGCTTAGAAGAAAGCGCAACTGGAATTCTCGGTGAAATGTCAAAACCGATGTCGTGGTCGATGCCACCGGATAAAATTTGCGAGAAACTAAAGAAAAAAGATCAACAAATTTGCGAACTCCGATACGATGTAGAAATTGATTTAAAAACAGTCGATTTGAAGAAACTTAAAGTGAGAGATCTCAAAAAAATCCTTAACGACTGGGGCGAAGAATGCGAAGGGTGTATAGAAAAAAGCGAATATCTGAAAAGGATAGAAGAATTAAAACCTAAACATACTGAATTGTGAATTAAGTGATACGTTAGGGTATTATAAATGACTAGCTCAATGGACTTTTAAAATAGCACTGGATTGTGTGTCTAATTTAATGTCAATACCAACTATGCAGTGAGTTGTTTGATTAAAAAAGATTTACTTTATAAATTATTTAAAAATAAACTTAGTTTTTGAGGTATTTATAAATAAAAACATTTTTAGTTTAAACAGTATTTTTTTTTATTTAAAATTCTTTTTTCACAGCTTATTTCATGAAAAATTATCTTTGAATTCTAGTAGGTGGTGATGGATATGGTAGGTCAAAATAATAAATATAATTTTAATTCTCATGGAAACACAACTCAGACAACGGCTCGAAACAGACAATTTTAATACGCTTTACTCGCAGCAGCATAAGTTTTTGTAATCGCAAAAAATCGGAATTATTTCATTGTTAAAGCTTTGTTAGATACCGGTAGTTGAATCTTGTTCATTATACAAATTCTAGCTAAAAAATGACAATAATTTATAAATTTCTGGCATTTTGAATGACTGTAGAGAAGATAATAAATCTATAAATGATAATGTATCACTGAAAAATAATCCTGTCTACGTAAGTTGGCATAATTATTAATATAAGGAAAAAAAGTATATTCTTCATAAAAAGTAGGTCTAAAACCTAAAATACAACTATCAGATACCAAATTTTATCAGTCTTATACGAGGTTTGTCAAAAATAAAGGTACTTTTCTTTACTTCGTATACGGCTTAAAAAATTGATATATGATGGTTGCATTTTAAGTTTTAGACCATGCAGAACTTAAAATGTATTTTGAACTTCATATCGTCACATTTTGATTAGTAAAGATTCTTGAAAAATTAAATCAAATTAATTTTGGATACTTCTATATATCTATGTAAAGTGCATCTAATAGGTTATGGGCCCAGGGACAAAATGTAATTAAAGAAGAGATTCAAGAAAATAAACATTTGTCTTGAAATTTAAAAAGTGTCGACAAATCATTCCAAATTGACAAGTTTCTAAAAATGGAAAAATTATATAAATTTTTAATAAGTTTTATTAATTTTTATTATTTTTTTATTAATTTTTAATAAGTTTTATCAATTTTTATTAATTTTTTTTATTTTTTATTAATTTTAATTAATTTGTATTTAATTTTATTAATTTTTATCAATTTTTATTAATTTTTAATAATTTTTATCAATTTTTATTAATTTTCATTATTTTTTTAACAATTTTTATTTTTTTTTTTATTTTTTTATTAAATTTCATTATTTTTATAAATTTTAATCGATTTTTATTTTTTTTTATAAATTTTTATTGATTCTTATTTATTTTTTTAACAATTTTTATTTTTTTTATTTTTTATTAAATTTTATTAACTTTGAATAATTTTTATCAATTTTTATTAATTTTTATGAATTTTTTTAATTTTTATTTAATTTTATGAATCTTTAATTATTTTTATTTAAATTCAACCATAAATAAATCCGCAAGGCATCACTCACGTGACAGCGTCCACTACCAATCTGTACTAAAAATTACCTAACTCTAGAAATTTCCATAAATCCCAGTGGCGTACTAAATTATTTTTTAAATTTAAATATTATGCAACGTTCCTTTAAATTGGCCAATTTTATGTATTTACCGTCTTCTCTCATTATTCTTACTCTTTGAATACCTCACAACCCATTTATTTCCATAATTGATAAACCAAGAGGGGGAATAAGATGTGGGAGAAATTGAAACATAATCATTCATTAATTTAAAATTTATTAAAAAAAGAAAAATAATTTAATATTTTTATAGTCAACAGTTTAGTATTGTCATTAAAATGTTTCATTTTAACCATACATTCTTGTATTTTTCTCGCTATGTTTTATTATGCGCCATTTTTAATCTTTCTGACACTATTTTCTTCATATGAAAGCCGAAACTGCGCCACACCAGGTTTTCTTCTGATTTCCTTCTTTTCCTGGTCTTTGAACATGTCCCAAATATTTTTAAACTCTTCAAAAGGATTTTCCTCCAAAATCTGCGATAATTTCAAATCCTATCAAACCTATTCATCAGGAATGTTTCGTTCTTTAATTACCGTTGACATGGGTCTAAAAAAACATTAATAAAATGTTCTTTTCACCTCTAAGTAAAGCTAAAAGTGACTAATGTCAAGTCATGTGTCAGTTGTCAAGTGTCAAGAACCAAAGCTAGAAGCTTACACAAGTTAACCTAAATGTAAGTTTATTCAGAAGTGGAAAGATTGGCCCATAGAATTTTAATTTACAAACACTGTCAATCCCCACCAACCTCGTTTTCCTCCTCTATCCGTTTCTCGTGCATAGTTTTGACGTGTCGTCTTAAATGGCTGCTTTGCGTGTACTTCCTCGGACACAAGTTGCATTGGTACGGCTTCTTTCCGCTATGGATGACCAAATGACATTTCAAATATTCGCTACGCGCGAAACCTTTGTGACATATGACGCACACGTAAGGTTTCTCGCCGGTGTGCGATTTTTGATGAACCCTGAGGTGGGAACTAGTGACGAAACTTTTGTCGCATTGTTGACAGATATATGGACGTTCCTTAGTATGGAATCTATTAAAATAAAAAAAAAATACCTTGGTACCTTATCAATTTCTAATGGAGGTGTAGGGATTGGGAACCATTTAAAATTAAAGACGAATTATCCACAGAAGATATGGAGACAATCCAAAAGAAAAAATGGTTGATGATAAACCAGAAAAATCCAAATCCAGAAGATGAACTCGACCAACTAACTAACATAATGAATAGCTTTACTGTTAAAAAGATGAAGACAAAGACCATCAGGTGCTGGAATTGCTGTGAACTGGGACGTGTACACAGTTCGTACAAGTCCAGGTTCAAATTGATCAAAGTTAGTGCCAAAGAGGTATTCCTACATCCATATAAGGACAGTACCGTGCCAGTTGCAGTACAGGAGGATACGGTGGTACCTTGCAGAAGTGAAGGAACACCTGTTACGATGGAATCTTGGAACCACGATGAAGAGGTTGGACGAGGAATTGCTGCTAAAGAGATTCCAGTTCGTTCTAATAATGCTCACCCAATTACCTTCAAGAAAGATACCAAAATGGGAACTTGTATACCAGTAATATCCACAACAACATCTGATAATTCCAACGACAAATTGGAGCAAATGATTGCAGTTGCTGGCCAATCTCTGAATCAATTAGAGAAAAAGAAAATGAAGGAATGACATTTTTGTACCAAAAGGAGGAAAAACAAGAAGAACTTCTGTTGTAAAACATAAAATTGACATTGATGACCGATTCGTCAATCAGCTCGAAGGTTACCAAAGGCCAAGAGAGAGGAATCTGAAAAGATTGTTTTGGAAATGAAGGAAGACAGGGTGATAGAAGCTTCTACCACCAGCCCATGGGTCTCTCCGATAGTCCTGGTCCAGAAAAAGTATAGAATGGTAGAGGGAAAGAATAAGACCATTGGAAAATATCTGTCAGAACTGGTTTTAAACCATCAGCGAGATTGGAATCAGTATCTTTCCCTCTTTGCAATGGCTTATAGATCCGCTGTCAATGAATCGACAGGCACAAAAAAATGACACGTCACGGGAACTTGAAAAATTTTTGGCAATCGCCTTTTTTTTTCGGGATATTTTTTTAACTTTTTTATCTGTCAATTTTTAATTTTTTAATCGTTTTCATTTTTTTTTTTTTATTTATTTTTTCCCTTTTTTAACATTTTTCCATATTTTTTTATTTTTTAAATTTTTCCAATATTTTTATTTTTTTCCAATTTTTTACATTTTTAATTTTTGTACATTTTTTAAAATTTGTTTTTATATTTTTTCCAATTTTTTTCATTTACAATATTTTTTTTAAATTTTTTCCCTTTTTTTAACATTTTTCCATAGTTTTTTATTTTTTTTTTTCAATTTTTCACATTTTTAAATTTTGTTTTTACATTTTTCCAATTTTTTTCATTTACAATATTTTTTTAAATTTTTTTTAATTGTTCCAATTTTTTCTAATAATTTTTTCCCTTTTTTAACATTTTTCCATATTTTTTTTTTTTTCAATTTTTCACATTTTTAATTTTTGTACATTTTTAAATTTTGTTTTTACATTTTTCCAATTTTTTTCATTTACAATATTTTTTTTCAATTTTTTTAATTGTTCCAATTTTTTCTAATAATTTTTTCCCTTTTTTAACATTTTTCCATAGTTTTTTATTTTGTTCCAATTTGTTTTTAATTTTTTTCCCAATTTTTTCCAATATTTTTATTTTTTTTTTCAATTTTTCACATTTTTAATTTTTGTACATTTTTAAAATTTGTTTTTACATTTTTCCAATTTTTTTCATTTACAATATTTTTTTTAATTGTTCCATTTTTTTCTAATAATTTTTCCATTTTTTATTTTGTTTATTTTTTACATTTTTAATTTTTGTACATTTTTTAAATTTGTTTTTAAATTTTTTCCAATTTTTTCTAATATTTTTTTTCTTTTTTTAACATATTTCCATATTTTTTATTTTATTTTATTTTTTTATTTTTTCCAATTTTTCACATTTTTAATTTTTGTACATTTTTTAAATGTTTTTGCATTTTTTCCAATTTTTTTCATTTACAATATTTTTTTCAATTTTTTTAATTGTTCCAATTTTTTCTAATAATTTTTTCCCTTTTTTAACATTTTTCCATAGTTTTTTATTTTGTTCCAATTTGTTTTTAATTTTTTTCCCAATTTTTTCCAATATTTTTATTTTTTTTTCAATTTTTCACATTTTTAATTTTTGTACATTTTTAAAATTTGTTTTTACATTTTTCCAATTTTTTTCATTTACAATATTTTTTTTAATTGTTCCATTTTTTTCTAATAATTTTTCCATTTTTTATTTTGTTTATTTTTTTTTATTTTTTTTCCAATTTTTTACATTTTTAATTTTTGTACATTTTTTAAATTTGTTTTTAAATTTTTTTCCAATTTTTTCTAATATTTTTTTTCTTTTTTTAACATATTTCCATATTTTTTTTTTATTTTATTTTTTTATTTTTTCCAATTTTTCACATTTTTAATTTTTGTACATTTTTTAAATGTTTTTGCATTTT